CAAACGTGAGACGGAGGTGTAGGGTCTGGGGACAGCGGAGGAGACAGAGGAGGGGATCGAGGAAGACGGGCCGGAGACGAGTCTTGCAGGGGGACCACAGGACTGTAGACAGGAAGGTCAGCAGGCGGTGGGGGAGACACCGGCGCGCGGTCCGGGGAGGGAAGGCCGAGCAGGCGGAGAGCGGAGACCGGTGGCGACGGCTGCTGCGGCGGTGATGTCGGCTGGGCCGGAACGCTCGGACCAGCAGAGGCAGAACGACGGTCGGCAGAACACTCAACAGCAGCACCCCCAGAACCAACACCCCCAGAGCGAGGACCCCCTCAAACACCAGCGGCACCCCTAGAAGCCGTAGGATGAACACCCTCCTCCACACCAGCACCCCCAGGGGCCGAGAGCGGCAGCGGCAGTGGCGGCGATAACTACGGCGGCGACGGCTGCGTCGGCGGCAACAGCGGCGACAGCGGCGGTGGCTGCAGCGGGGTCGGCGACTGCGACAGTGGGGGCGGAGGCACCGGGGAAGGGGGACGCGGCAAGGACAGACCGGGGGTACCACCAGAGTCAGCAGACTCCTCAACGGGGACAACCGACGGGATGGGAGTGACGTGAGAGACACCAGACGGGGCAGGACGAGGCGGGAGAGGGGCAGGGGCTACCGGGGGAGAGGGAGCAAGGAACAGGGGGGGGGCAACTGGGAGACCTCGGTGAGGGAAGCGGCGGTAGAAGGAGACTGACTCATCAAAGGTAACGTCACGAGAGTGGAGGAAGCGGTGAGACGGCAGGTGATAGAAAAGCCAGTCAGACAAGTCCAGGGGGAAACCGAGGAAGACACAGGGGACAGTGCGGGCAGTGAGCTTGTCCGTGCCAGAGGCACGAACGTGAGCGAGGCAGCCCCAGACGTGGAACGCAGACGCGTCACCGGGGGACCCGGTCCAAAGGAGGGTCGGCGAAGCCTGCGGCCGCTGGGAGCGTGGCCACAGGTTAAGCTGGTGAGCAGCGTAGCGAACAGCGAACGGCCACAGAAAATGAGGGGCATCGGCATGGATCATGGAGGTACGGGCGACCTCCATGACCAAGCCGATGCGACGCTCAGCAACCCCATTCTGTTGTGGCGAGTCCGGCAAGGTGTACGACTAGGTGATGCCCTCCGCACGACAGAACTGTCCAAGCCGACCAGAGGCGAACTCGCCGCCACGGTCGGAGTGGAGACACAACACGGGGAGACCGCGGTGGAGACACGCAGCCACAACCCACGGGAGAAGAACGTCAAGCACGTCGGCCTTCCGCTCCAGGGGAAACACCGTAGTGTAGCGCGTGTAGTCTTCGACGAGCACAAGGAAGTAGCGCTCACCGCGCGGTCCGGGGACGGGGGCAGGGCCCCAAACGTCAAGGTGCAGGGTCTGAAGGGGGGCAGTGGCCGGGCGCAGCGAGGAGGAGTGTGGGGCCCGGCGGAGCCGGCCCTCAACGCAAGGCGTGCACGGTGGCGCAGTCGAGGGAGGAAGGGCGGGGAGCGACGCAGGGAGACCTAAGACAAGGCCGTGCTGGGACATGTGACGCAGACGAGGGAGAGCAGGGTGACCTAAGCGGTGGTGCCAGAGAAGGGACGGGTGAGTGAGGGAACGACACGAGCAAGCTGCAGCAACCTGGGAGGACGCACCAACCGGAGGGGAAGCGGTGTCTAGGGTAAACAGGCCGGATACCGGGTCCCGGGGGAACGTCGCAAGGGGGGAACCTGAGACAGCCTCAGAACAGCCAGCGAACCACTCGTGCCCGGGGAACGTGGTGGTGACGCCGAGGTCCTGGAGACAGCCGACACCAACCAGGTTCCTCGAGAATGAGGGAACGTGGAGGCCTGTAAGGGAGCCTGAGGGAACTGCTGGACAGGGAAGGGACGTAGAACTGCGAGCGACGACAGGACCCGCCGAGGGGTCAGCGAGAGAGACGACAGCTGGCGTAGCAAGCGGCGTGAGCGCGGAACGGTCGCGGAAGAAGCAGGCAAAAGCACCGGAGTCGAGAGTGAAGGACAGCGCCGCAGTGGCGGGGGCAGGGGACGGAGACGGTGCAGAGACAAGGCTAGACAAGCTAGGTAGTCCTACGCCTGACGCAGCAGGGGAGTCTAGGCTACACAACGGTGCAACACCTAAACTAGAGAACACAGGGTAATAAGATCCAGCAACACTAGCAGCATCAGAATACAAGGCATGCAAAGCAGCACCTATCTGATCCATGTCTAACTCAAAGATCGGCACACCCTGGCGGAGCAGGCTGTGCCAATCAGGGAGGTCCGGGGCCGGGCCAAAGCGACGACGAAACAGATCGTCGAGGCGGCGGAAACAGCGGGCAGTCGGGTGCTGGCGGCGGCACAGAGTGCCGCGAAGGGGCCCGGTCTGAAGCTGGTACTGACAGGTCACAGCACCGGAGCCGCTGGTAGACGCCAAGCTGCGCGGGCCGCCACCACTGCCACCACCTCCTGAGGTGACGGGCCAAACAGGCGGGAGGCGAGCCCACTGCTGCGAGGGCTGCGGCTGGTACTGCGGCTGCTGCTGGGACGGCGGCTGTGGCGCGGGCTGCTCCTGCTGCAGCTGGGGCTGCTGCTCCTGACCACCAATGCTAGTCCCCCCAGACGGACTACTCTCACGACCACCACCACCACTACCTGCGCCACCACCCCTACCACCCTGGCGACCACGGCCACCGCGGTGCGAGCGCTGCTGCGGGTGGACCGCAGCAGCCGTTTTAGTGAGGGGGGTCGCCGTGGCGACTGCAGCCGAAACGTCAGTGAACGTGCACTGGGAGGGGGCACAGCCGTGAAAGATAGAGACTGCCGGCGCACCGCTCGACTGAGCGATAGTGCGCTGGCGAGTCTCGATCTCGGTGAGGGTGTCGACAAAGGCAGTAAGGGTGATGTCAGCCGGGTGCAGGCTAAGGAAGTGATCGCGAGCACTAGCGAGGCGGTCTGGCAAGCGCATGGCGATAAAATAGAGCATCATGCAGAAAGGGGGGGGGAGCGGAGTGAGCTGGGCAGCAGTGCTGGCAGTACGATAGCGGGTCTCTAGGGCACGCAGGTGAGTGGCGAAGTCTGCAACAGTAAGGAAAGCCGCAAGGTCTGGGAAAAGCATAGGGAAGAGCAGGCGACCATCAGAAGCAGATGCGGGTGTGGAATAGCGGGCAATAACAGTGTCTAAGTAAGCTTTGGCCGTCTCAATAGTAGCAAAACGCGAGCGCTCAGAGACAGGGAGGGCATGGCTAATGGCAACCTGAGCGACTGCATCACGAGAGTCCCAGACCGCACGGGCAAGCGCAGCAGTAGAGAAGGTCTCACGGTCATCAGAGGAGGGATCAGCAGGGAGGGGAGCAGGTGCGGGGGGGCGGGGGAGCAAGCCGTCGACATGGACAACCAAGGAGTGGCCATCCTGGCGCTGACCTGTAAGGTGGCGGCGGAGATCGGAGAGCCAGGCGGCGAAGTCAACCGCATGGCCCTCGGCGTCCAGGCGGAGCACGAAGTCCGCCATCGTGCAGGGTCAGCGGCACAGCTCCACAGGAACACAGCGACAGCCCCCTCCAGCACGGCGGCCGCGAAGCGCCTCAGCACGGGCGAGCAGAGGAGACGGAGCCCGAGGCGGCACGGGAGGACGAGCCAGGGCGAAGGGGCCAGGCAGGTGCGGTGGGGGCCAGGTAGGTGCTGGCGGGGCTAGGCAGGCGCGGCGGGGCCAGGCAGGCGCGGCGGGGCCAGGCAGGGGCGGCGGGGCCAGGAGGCGCGGCGGGGCCAGGCAGGCGCGGCGGGGCCAGGAGGCGCGGCAGGGCCAGTCAGGCGCGACGGGCCAGGCAGGGGCGGCGGGGCCTGGAGACGCGGCAGGGCCAGGTAGGCGCGGCGGGGCCAGGCAGCGCGGCGGGGCCAGGCAGGCGCAGTGGGGCCAAGAGGCGCGGCAGGGCGAGGCAGGCGCGGCGGGGCCAGGAGGCGCGGCAGGGCGAAGCAGGCACGGCGGGGCCAGGCAGGCGCGGCGGGGCCAGGCAGGCGCGACGGGGCCAGGCAGGCGCGGCGGGGCCAGGCAGGCGCGACGGGGCCAGGCAGGCGCGGTGGGGCCAGGCAGGGGCGGCGGTGCCAGACAGGTGCGGTGGGGCCAGGAGGCGCGGCAAGGCGAGGCAGACGCGGCGGGGCCAGGAGGCGCGGCAGGGCCAGGCAGGCACGGCTGGGCCAAGCAGGGGCGGCGGGGCCAGGGGGCGCGGCAGGGCCAGGCAGGCGCGGCGGGGCCAGGTAGCGCGGTGGGGCCAGGTAGCGCGGTGGGGCCAGGCAGGCGCGGCGGGTGCTAGGAGGCACGAGAGGCCCAGGAGGGGCGCAATGGGCTAGGAGGTGCGACAGGGGCCCAGGAGGGGCACGACGGGCTAGAACGCGCTACAGGGGCCCAGGAGGGGCGCTACGGGCTAGGAGGCGACGACAGGGGCCCAGGAGGGGCGTGACGGGGCCACGAGGCGCGGCAGGGCCTAGGAGGCGCGACGGGGCCTAGGAGGCGCGACGACGGCCCAGCAGGGGCGCGACGGGGCCGAGGAGGAGCGGCAGGGCCTATGAGGCGCAACAGGGCCTAGGAGGCGCGACGGAGGCCCAGGAGGGGCGCGACGGGGCCTAGGAGGCGCGACGGGGGCCCAGGAGGGGCGCGACGGGGCCTAGGAGGCGCGGCAGGGCCTAGGAGGCGCGACGGGGCCTAGGAGGCGCGGGCGGAAGCGGTAGGTGGGGGGGGGGTCGAACCTACGGGTGATACCATGTTAGAAGAAAAACTGAACAAGTGTTGAGTAGAGAGTGAGATAACAAGGGTATATACCTAAGAGTGTTGTACCCTCTAAGAGGTGACCCTATACAGTCTATACATATATGAGTTATACATATATTTGACACTTTGTCCATCCCCTCGTGTAACCTCCGTTGACTCGCGTACCCGGTACGACTTTCCTCGAGTGTAGTGTTACACTTCAGAAACGCTGAAGTCCTTGAAGTATTTCCAACACAACTCACGTTCAATTGAAATGAGAACGATGCCAATTGCACAACATGAAAGCTAGCTTTCTCAATGCTGTCGATCACACAAGAACCTGCATTCATGAGGCTACAGTCTCTACAACTGTAACAGCTTTAGGTGCTGCTTCGCTTGCTATCCCAATCTCAACTTCTTCCTTCAGTTTCTGTTGCTTTCTAACCACCTTGCCAGCAGCTTTGCCAAAGCCTTTGCTTGCTCCAAAACCCTTGACTTTTGCAAGGGCTCCTTTTCCCAGGCCAGCCTTCTGCATGTCTGTCTTCCTCCCCTTTCTTTCCCACCCCACCTTTCCGATGACTCCACCCTGACTTATGTCTCCCTTCAGCTCGTTTGAAGCTTCAGCCACCACACTTAGGGCATCCTTCTGCTCCTGCACTATTTCTCCTCCCTTCCCAGTCACAGCAGCAGCAGCAGCAGCGCCATCATCTCCTGCAGCAAAAGCCTCTCGCAAAGGAGCCTCTTGAGTACTTGCCGACTTTTCCATGTCCCCAAGTCCTGTTTCAGACTCCAGTGCTTCAATAGCCATGCCTCCCTCTTGTCCCCCAACCTCTGCATTACCTTTAGCGTGTACTCCTGCATCCTTGTCTGCTACACTCACATCCGAGCCATCCACTTGCGCTGTCTGCTCAAGGATGCTAGAATCCTTGAGGCCATCCTTGGATACTTCAGTCTGGCCTCCGCCTTCTCTCACACTCACCACCCTCTCAACTTTTAACTCCTGATCCACCACCTTTGTTTCAGCCTTCACTTCTTCCCCTGCCTGTTCGTTTTCCCCCCCTGCAATCGCCTTTGGAGTTTCCACAGTCACCTCCTCCCCCTTCCGTATCTCCTGTTCGTCACTCCCCTTAGCAACCTCAGCCTTCCTCTCAACGACCGCACCTCTCCCTTCAACATCACCCCTCACCTCCTTCTCCTGCTCCTCTCCCTCGTCCTTTCTCCCCTCAGCCTTCCTTCTGTTCTTTCTCCTCCCACTTGCTTTCTCCTTCTCACCATCCTCCTCTCCCCCATCCCTCGCACTCCTCCCCCCCTTCAAACCCCCTTCCTCAGGCGCCTTGGTCACAGTCATACTCGGTACAGCACCACTCGTTACTGTACCAGCGCTCTCTAGAGGCGCCATGCGCAATGCAGCGAATACCTGATCGGATGGAGTGAGTTCAAGCCCTCTTAGGTCAGCCATAAGAGAGCAGAGAGAGGGGAAGTCTCCAGCTAACGCCCTGTCCTTGATTACTGGAACAAACATGGACACGGTCGGCTGAAAGGTGGGGATGCTCCGAAGGGACTGTAGGGGGTTCAGCGGGAATAGGAAGAGGTGCATAAGGGAAAACAACGGAGTAATGTGAGGAGATGCAAGGAAGATGAAGGGGCCACAGAGAGTACAAATAGAAAACACAGGCGACAAGGAATTGTGTATGGAGGGGGAACTGGGTAATGCCGTGAGGGCGGATTTCAGAGATGCATGATGGATGCATCGAGTGAGGGAGGGCTAAGGTGTCGCTGTCCAATTCGGCAAGACGCTACTGTACTGTTCGCACCAACTTCACTGCACTGCTACAGTGCTATGTAGCACATTGTGCTCTGGGCTATACTGTCAGAAATTGGTGTGATTCATTGTTGATTTTCACTGTGACTAAACGGGGGTGGAACACAGGGAAGCGACAAGAGCAGAACGGAAACGGCTCCCCAGACTGGCACAGAAGTATGGACAGGAGGAATCCAGACTGCAGAGTGGAGAGAGAGAGAGTGCATGTGGACCTAGAGAGAACGAGGGTGCGAGAGGGCTCTCGTTAAGTTCCAAACGTACGAGAGTACGGGAAGGACGTCCTGAGGGAGAAGGAAAGTGGAGAGGGACGATACTGTGTCACTGCGTCTCTGTGTCTGGTTCTGGAGTGAGAAGAGAGGTTGAGGGAGGAGGAGAGGGGAAAGGAAATGAGTGAGAGAGCGAGAGCACACACCTTCCACAGAGTCATCACAGCACCATGCCCTGGCACTCCTCCGCTCACCCCTCCCACACCCCCTTCCTCACTCTCCTCCCCTTTCACCCCCCCCACAGCTTCGAGCTCCGCAACCACCTCCTCCTCCCCCACCGCCGCCCCTCGCTGAACCATCTGCAGCAGCAACTCCCCAGCCTTCATTCCAGGTAGCGCGGTCTCGGTCCCTGCCTCTGGCGCTATTGCCATCTCCTCTCCCACCGCCGCCTCTCCTTGCACCATCTGCAGCAGCGAATCCCCAGCTTTCTTTGGAGGTAATGCCGTCTCAGTTTCCGCCTTGGCACCGATTGCACTCTTGTCTTCCGCCTTTGCAGGTGGTGCACTCTTACCTTCCTCCTTTGCAACTAATGCACTCTTGCCTTCCGCCTTTGCAACTAACGCACTCTTGTCTCCCGCCTTTGCAGAGATTGCACCCTTGCCTTCCGCTTTCGCAGCTAGTGCACTCTTGCTCTCCGCCCTCACAGCTAATGCACCCTCATTTTCCACCTTCACCACAGCTGCACTCCCCTCTCCCACCGCTGCGACCCCAGCTCCCTCCTGTCCTCGGCCTTCCTCTATGCCCCTATCCTTTCCTTCCCTCTCCCTCTCTCCTCCCTCTCCCCCCTCTTCTCCCCCTAGTCCCTCTTTCCCCTCGTCTCTCACTTCCCCTTTCGCCTGGACGGCTCGTGCTTTCAGCAGCAGCTGCCTGCACGCGTTGGACGGCTCCACCCCCTGCTTGATCGCCACTTGGAGCACCGCCTCTGCTGCAGCTGCACCCGCTGCTAGATCTGGCACAGCAGCAGCAGGAGAAGCTGCAGCAGCAGCACCAGCAACCCCAGCAGCAGCAGCAGAAGCAGCAGTATTAGACACCATATTCCCTCCATCCAAACCCTTGCCCTCTCCCACTCCCTTCCCCTCCACCACCCCCCCCTTCGCCACCCCCCCCTTCGCCACCCCCCCTTCGCCACCCCCCCTTCGCTACCCCCTCCAAATACCCCCTCATGATCCCTTCAACAATCTCCACAGGCGGTTGGAACGTCGGGTGCTCTGCTAAAAGGTCGCAGAGGGCAGAGTGCGCCCACGCAGGGTGCGAGGCGGAGAGGTAGGCGCAGACGAGAGAGAGGTGCAGCGAGGGGTCTGGCACGAGCTGCAGCTCCCCCCGCATGTACTCCAATACTCCCTCGGCCAAGCCAAACTCGCCCAGGCGCGTGTAGCTGGAAGGGATGAAGGGAGTTGGGAGGGGGGGGGAGGGGAGAAGGGAAGGGGGAAGGGGAGGGAGGGAAGCGGGAGGGGAAGGGGGAGGGGAAGGGGGAAGGGGGAAGGGGAAGATGGGCAAAGTGAGGGCGATTATAAAATGGAGATAGGGGAGCACGAGGGAGAGGTGCAGCGAGGGGTCTGGCACGAGCTGCAGCTCCCGCCGCAATACTCCCTCTGCCAGGCCGAACTCGCCCAGATGCATGTGGCTGGAAGGGAGGGATGAGGGCAGGGCGGGGGGGCGGGGGGGGAGGGAGGGGGCAAGGGGGAGCGGGAGGGGAGAGGGAGGCAGGGGGGCGGTGAAACGCGAGAGATGAATGGATACCCAATCAGCTCCCCCCACATGTACTCGCCCAGTACTCCAATACTCCCTCTGCCAGCCCGAACCCGCCCAGGGTGGGAAGGCAGGAGCAGGTGGGGCTACGGAAGACGGATGAGAACAGGGGGCTACTGAAATGAAGGAGGGAAGGGGGAAGGGAAAGGTAAGCAACGTGAGGAGGAGAACGGAGGATCTAACCCATCTTCGACGACAGCAGCGTGAGGAGATAAAACACGACAGAGCTGCTAAGGGGTGCCCACTGCCCAGCCCAAGGTTCGCTGCATCTGCATTCTTTTCCATGTGCCCCCTCATCATTCCCCCGCCATCCTCTCCTAACCTTCCCCCCACCGCCATCCTCTGATTATGCCATGCCATGCCATGCCATGCCATGCCATGCCATGCCATGCACCCCCGTTTCAGCCGAAACGAACCCCAGCATCTGCGTTGCAACTTGCAAGCTCCTGTTCTCAGCCAGCCAAGTCACCGTTGGGTTCCATTGATAGCCCAGGTCGATTCCAAGCTCCAACAACACCTTCCATCCGGCCTGCACCCCTTCACTCTACCCCCCCCCCACTCACCCGTCCAGCAACACCTGGAAGCACCCGGTAGATACTTCACCCCCTTCTGCAGCATGTCGTGCACCACCCCCTCCGCCTCCTGCAGGCGGCAGGCACTACTGTGAAGGCTAATGCTATGCACCCTTTTTCTGTCACAACAAACCCCAGCGCGCTTGCGTGCAAGCTCCTTGGAAGTAGCCCGAAACCCTATAGCTGGCATTAGCCCAGTTCGAACACGCACCTTCCCTACTCGCCTTCACCCTTACTTCCCCCCCCCACTCACCCGTCCAGCAACACCTGGAAGCACCCGGTAGAAGGCTTCACCCCCCCCTGCAGCATGTCGTGCACCACCCCCTCCGCCTCCTGCATGTGCCCGTTGCTGGCGTACGCCTTCAAGAGCCCCACGTACACGCGCCTGTCCTCCACTCGCCCCTGCTGCCGCAGGGACTGGTGGGGGGAAGGAGAGAGGGAGAGGGGGAGAGGGGGAGAGAGGGAGAGGGGGAGCGAGGGAGTGAGGGAGGGCCGGTGTAAGGAGGAAAAGGGAAGGTAGCACTCAAGTTGCTGGCATACACAAACACAAGGTGGCATTTCAAGAGCCCCACAACACAAGCCAGCCCTCCACCTGCCCCGCCTGCACTAGGGTCACCAGAAGCTGCCTCGATCGCCATGTGTAATGAGTCGACTAGTCCATTTCTGAGTCGAATAAGAAAAAGCTGCCTCAATCGCCTTCAACCACCATCCCATCCCCCGGCACCCGGTCCCCTCGATTCCCCCAAACCCCCACCCTCCTTGGCAATCCCCCATCGCACCTGGAACACCCCCTCGGCGTGCTGCGGCATGCATGCCCAGCGCGCCATATACGTTGATGCACGCCACCGCCAGAGAAGCGGACAGCGGTTCCAACTTCTCCTCCACCTCCTCCCCCCCCCCCCCCCGTACCCCCCATTCCCAGCGTTCCCTGCTCTCTTTCTCACCTGGAACACCCCCTCAGCGTGCTGCGGCATGCCCAGAGCGCCATACGCGTTGATGCACGCCACCACCAGGGACGCGGGCAGCTTCACGCCCTCCTGGCACAGAGAGCGGTGCAGAGCCGTGATGGCCGCGTGCTCGCCTCCCCGCGCCAGCACTGGCACGGCGCGCTCCACCAGCTTGGCGTCCACGGGGATACCCAGGGCCTGGGGGAGGGGGGGGGGGGAGGAGAAAGGGAGGAAGGCGGGGGGCCGGGGGGGAGAGGGGGGTGGGGTGGGGGGGCGAGATACAGGGTTTAGGGTTTGGGTCGGCTCCAAGGCTGTGTGCGCGCTCCACCAGGCGTCCACGGGGATGCCCAGGGCCTGGGGGGGACGGGTGGGGGAGGGGGAGAGGGGAGGGGCGGGCGGGAGGTGGGGGTCGGAAGCAGGGAAGACATGGATGGTATGTTGTTGAAGAAGATGCATCACGCGTTTGTGTACGGCATGCGAAGAGGGCACATAGGGGGGGGGAACTGAGATAGGGGTTGCGGGAAAAAGATGGTACTTGGGGGTCCAGACCAGAGACAACAGCGAATATGGATTGGAGGAAGAAGAGGGGGACGAAGGGGGAGAAGAATGCCAGTGCCCCCTCACTTTACTCCCTCCCACCCAAAAAAACCAGTCCGTCTCCCCCATCCATGCCCTCCTGCCCCCCCTCCCCCCCTCCACCTTCCCCTTTCATCCCCCTCATCACCATCATATCTTCCTTCCAGCCTATCCGCCTCCACTATGTCGTCCTCGCGCACTATCCCCGTGCGGCCTCCCCCCCACACTATGGTCCCTCATCCCAGCAAGGCTCGTAGAAGAGCCGGCTGTTTCGTCGCGGCGAGCATCATCGCCATCTCGACGCAAGTGACCAAATCCGCCTCCACCATGTCGTCCTCCAACGCAACCCACCCCCAAACCGCGCAACCCACCCCAAACCCCTGCGTCCTCCCCCTCCCCAAACCCCCCCCCAGCTCACCATCATATCGTCCAAGACGGCCCTAAGGGGGACCGGCTGTTTCGCCGCGGCGAGCATCATAGCCATCTCGACGCAGGTAACCCTGTCCGCCTCCACCATGTCGTCCTCGCGCACGCGCTCGTACACGCCGATGGCGTCGCGCCACCGCCCCGCGCGCGCGTACCCGCCGATCTGCGCGTTGTACGCGAACACGTCCGGGGGCACTCCGCGCGCCTCCATTCCGCGCGCCACCGCCTCCATCTGCGCCACGTTCCCTGGCGGCCGAGCGGAAGCGGGGGTAGTGAGAGAGTGGGGGGGGGAAGGGAAATTCTTTTTGGAAAGGGTTACAAACGCGCGCCTCCATCCCGCGCGGCACCGCCTCCATCTGCGCCACGTTCGCTAACTCGCGCGTGTCGGGTTACAGTCGCAGAAGTGGTTCATGTCACGAAGTCTGGCTTGCGAATTGTGATTCTGGAATGCGGAAGTGTGCACGGGGATACAGGCATTGGCGGAGGAGGTGGTTACCGTCACTGTGGTTACGAGTGCTACGTTACGAAGCCCGCAAAAAAGCAGAGCCAGACCAGCTGAGATTATCCTTCATTGCGCTCCCCCCACCCCCACAACCCCCCTGCCTCACCTGCTTTCCCGTACGCAGCGAGCACCGTCGTGCACGCGCGTACCCCCGCCTCGAGCTCCTTGCTCGTGCCCTCCACGTGCTGCAGCCACGCGTACACGGCGCCCAGCAGGTCGTGCTCGCGCTGCTGCGCGCCGAGCTCCTTCAGCAGCAGGATGACGTCAGACTGCACCCACTCGCGCTCCCATTGGTCCAGCACCGGCCACACGACGCTCTCGAGCGTCTCGGATGGAGCGACGGAAGCCTCAGTTCCACTCCCACCGGCGGCGGAAGCGGCGGCGGGAGCGGCAGCAACAGTAGTGGCGGCGGCGGCAGGGACGGCGGCGGCCGCGGGCTCGTCGGTGACGGCGACTTGGGTGCCTTGGCCCGCGCCTCCCTCTTCATTCTTCTTCATATCCGTCCCATTCTTCTTCTTCATCGTCGTCGTCGCCTGCGATTCTCTGCCCTTTCGCTCGTCCGCCCATCGCTGCTTCGCCTCGCGCAGCGCCGCCAAGCACGACGACACGCGCGACAGCGTCGCCAGTGAGGAGTCGTTGCCGTTGCCGTAACCAGACCTGCCGCCGCGGCCTCTTGCGACGCTCCCGCTTGCGCTGCTTTCACCGCCGCCTGACTTATTGTCGCGCCGACCACGCCAGTTGAAGCGACTAGCGGCGCCGCCTCCTCCTCCTCCTCCTCCGCCGCCGCCTCCGCCGCTGTTTCGAGACTGTCCCGCGCTCCGTCTACCCGTCGCGGCGGCGGTCTGTTCGCCTCCTCGATTCTGCTTGTTCTGGCGCCTCCGCGGTTGCTGCTGCTCGGGCAGCGTAGCAGCGGAAGCGGCGTCAGCGGTGGCACTTGCGCGGGTCGTAACGGGCACCTGCGCGCGGCGGAGTCCCCCAACCCCGCACGGGAGTAACGCCGTCGGGGGGGGTCGAGAGGAGTTTCTCGAAAAGGCGGCATGACTCGAGAGGTCATTGCGACTCGAAATCTGTCGAGCGCGAAAGGATAAAACGCGGTCAGGGCAGGGAGACCGAGGCTGGCTGGACACGGAAGGAGTAGGCGACGCGACAGAAGTTGTGGCGGCAGCGGAGACGGAATGAAGCGCCATTAGCAAAGTACGCAAGATTCCGGAAAAGTTTTGGGGGATATAAGAGAGACGTCGTTTTTTAGGCCCTAAAGCGAATCACGGCAAGGTTGTTGAATGGAAACGCTGAAACATGGAGAGGAGAACACGGGGGCGGCGTAAGTAGTGAAGGGCTTTCAAATAAGGCATTAATCCAGCCTAGGACGCAACGTGGTTGTACTGCCACCGAGGTTGGTAGTGGGCTGCACCCAGCAACTACAGGGAGAAGCATAAATTGATGGTGCGTGAATGCGGAGTATTTTCTTGGCGAAAAGTTATGCGACATGCGAACACCAGCGACTGACAGGTACGTGTACTTGGAGTCGCTGTAAATGTTTGAATTCGAGTAACAGCTAACATAGGGTTGAGGCTGCGAAGGGGGGGAAGAGGCCTGACGACGGCAAGCAGGGGAGATGACTGAACTCAAGACCAATTGACGGGTAATCTGTAAAGAAATGACGTGGCTCGACGATTGACGATACCTCACCGGATTGGTGGACATAGGCTGTGTCATGCGCCAAGTGTATTGATGACGTCGGGAATCACATGCGTCCGAAGGGAATGGATAGAGCGACGATACCCGTTATTGCACACACCTCCACGAGCTAGCTCACCGTTTGTCAGCTGGTACCTTAGTTAGCATGGTATAAGGAATTTCCATTCCTTATTGTTGAGTCGTACGCTAGCGCGTACACCCGAACTCCTTGACTCGTCACTTTCTCGAGTCGCGTCCAGCACTGTCGCCACATTTCCGAAACTACCCACGTCCCGAGGTTGTCGCCCTGGCACGCCAACCCATATATAACCTCGTGTCTTCACTGCAATAGTGACATTGTACCGTAATCCCCTGTATATAACACCCCCCGAAATAGTCACTCCACGGGTGGCATGTGCGGGGGATAGCTTATAATATGGTACATTTCTTAGAGTAACCGCTTTTTTGGGTTTGCATTGTTCATAATGTAAAAACTAGAAACTAGGATGCCGTGGAAGTGGCGTTAGGTTTGTAGGAGCTAGGAGAACTAGGAGAGAGGAAAGGCAGCCATGATAATGGCGGCGGGGTTTAGCTAGGAGGTAGGCAAGAGTGTCGAGAGAAAGAGAGCCTTAGAAAAGAAAGAGGGATACAAGGGGTGTTGTACCCTCTACATAAATATTCAGTAACGTTTACCAAGCCTACAATTATATATTAACATATATGATTTAACACACCCCCTAGGCTTGGTAGCATAAGGATCCACACACCCCACACCCCCTAACCTAGCACCCCCATTCCCAGCAGCCACGACTACTCAAGCAGGGCCAACCCCAAGGCCCTGGAGATGGCGACGGCGGCAGTCCCGGCAGCGGCGACAGCGACGGCGACGGCGGCGTGCGGCGGCAACAGGCCTGCGGCGACGGCTTCGGCTTACGACTCCGGTAACGGCAGCGGCCCCCGCCCTTTCGGCGGCGTGTCCAAACTCCGCGACAAGGGGACGACCGACGAGAGTCAGGCGGTGGCTGTGGCGAAGAGGAGGAGACAGAGGGAAGGGGGAAGGGGCGGGGCTTCGGATCTTCAGCGCGGCGCCATTGCTGGCGCGGCGCTTACTGGCGTGCGGGCGGGCTGCAAGTCCAGCAGCGACGCAGGTGGTGCGCGACGGCAACAGGCCGACGACACCGCCACGGCACCACTACGACGCCACCACAGCGTGGCGTCGGAGCTGCGGCTGCTCGTCGACGCTGAGACGACAGCACACAGAGGCCGCCGCGTCATCTCGGAAAATGTGCCACGGCGGCAGGCAAACAGAAGGCCGCGACGGCGGCCAAGTAAGGACGAGTATGCGGCGGAAGCGTGGAGAGCAGGCCCGGGAAGGGCGTCCTGCTCTGATACCATGACAGCACTAGAAACTAGGACGCCATGGAAGTGGCATGAGGTTTCTAGGAGCTAGGAGAACTAGGAGAAAGGAAAGGCAGCCATGATAATGGCGGCGGGGTTTAGCTAGGAGGTAGGCAAGAGTGTCGAGAGAAAAGAGAGCCTTAGAAAAGAAGAGAGAGGGATACAAGGAGGGGTGTTGTACCCTCTACAGAAATATTCAGTAACGTCTACCAAGCCTACAATTATATACTAACATATACAACATAACACGCTACTCGTTTTGTCAAATTATATATTTGATATGTATATAATGGTAGGCTTGGTAGGTGTTACTGGATTCTACTGTAGAGGGTACAACCCCCTTCTTTTATCCCTCTCTCTTCTAATCTCATCCTCTTCTCTCTCGTCAATTTCTCCTTCCTAAACCTCACGCCATTCCACGGCTCCTACTCCTACATAGCTCATCTTAATATGGTATCGGAGCAAGTTGCTCTTCATGGGCCTGCTTATCACGCTTTCGCCGCGCACTCCTCCTCTCCCTCTCGCGCTGCCATGGCGGCCGCGTCGTGCTGCTGTGTCGGTGTCGTCGTGTCGCCGGCCGCGTCGTGCTGCCGCGGCCGTCTCAACGCGCTGCCGTGGCGTCGCGCTGTTGTGGCGTCGACGTCAAGCCGTGGCAGTGTGACGGCGCCGTCGTGCTGCCGTGGCGACATGCTGCCAGCACGCGTACAGCACGGACGGTAGCGGCCAGCACCCCGTCTTAGCATTGGCCAGCATGCCCGCATGCAGCCACACAGAGCGGCACGCTCCTGGGCTCCGCTGCTGAAGCCCCGCCCCCTTCCCATGTGTCCCCTTTTCCTCGTCGCAGCTGACGGCTGACTCACGCTGGCCGTCCCACCGTCGCGGAGCCCGGCCACTCCGCCAAGTGCTGCGAGCTCCGCCGCCGCCGGCAGCTGTCGTCGAAGCCGCCGCTGCCGCAACTGGTGCCGCTGGCCATGCAGCCGCACGCTGCCGCCGCCGTCGCTGTCGACGCTGCCGCCATCGCCGTCGACGCTGCCACCGTCGCCGCCATTGCTGCCGTTGCAGCCGCTACCCTCACTGTCGACGTCGCCGCCTTACGCGCCGAGGGGCTGACCCTGCTGGAGTAGCTGCCGCTGCTGCTGAGTATGGGGGTGCTAGGCTTAGGGGGTGTGTGGCTTAGTGTGCTGTGTGTGTGGTGGGCTTTCAGCTACCAAGCCTAGGGGGTGTGTTAAATTATATATTTGATATATATGTAATGGTAGGCTTGTTAGGTGTTATTGGATTCTACTATAGAGGGTACAACCCCCTTCTTGTATCCCTTTCTCTTCTAATCTCATCCTCTTCTCTCTCGTCAATTTCTCCTTCCTAAACCTCACGCCATTCCACGGCTCCTACTCCTACCTAGCTCATCTTAACACATTTTTCTTGCCTTCAAACAGTATTTGGATTTGTAAAGGAGGTAAGCCTAGAAGCTAGCTAGGCATAAGAAATGTTGAGAGGTTTTAGGTGGTGGGAGAAAAGTGACGAGAGAAAATGTGGTCGACTAGGAAGGGAGAGAGATACAAGAAGGGGGGGGGTTGTCCCTTCTACAGTAGGATCTAGTAATGTAGCACACCTACCAAGCCTAAACAAGTATATATATATATATATAATATATATAATTTGATACACCCCCTAGGCTTGGTAGTCGAAGGCCCACCCCAAACGCAATAACCCCAAACCCTTGCACTCCCATGTTCTGCAGCAGGTGTGGCTTCTACCCCTCATGCGAAGCAGCGACATCGGCGGCGGGTGGCAGCAACGGCGGCTTCTACAATGACGACAGCGGCGGCGGCGGTGGTGGCGGCGGCTTCGACGACGGCGGCGGCGTCTGCGAAGCTTGCGAAACCCAGCGGCGTGGCACGGCCCGGCGACGACCGGGTATGGAGTCATCAGCTGTGGCAAGGGGAGACGCAAGGGGGGGGGGGGGGGGGGGGGGGGGGGGTGCTTCAGCAAGGAGCCCATGGCTGGCGCACTGGCTGGCGTGCGGGCGTCATGGCTGGCACCTAAAATGGTGCACGGCTCGCTGCTGCCCGTGCGCTGGCGCTTCGACGCCGCCACGGCGTGGCGTCGATGCCACAACAACGCGTCGAGGCTGCCACGGCAGCACGACAAAGCCACCATGGCAGCACGACATGGCCGCCACAGCGACGCGACAGTGACGGGAGGGGGGAGAGTTCGCTGTGGAAGCGTGATGACAGAGCGCAGCAGGAACTTCCTGCTCTGAAACCATATTGAAGAGGAGGTAAGCCTAGAAGCTAGCTAGGCATAAGAAATGTCAAGAGGTTTTAGGTGCTAGGAGAAAGGTGATGAGAGAAAAGGTGGTCGACTAGGAAGGGAGAGAGATACAAGGAGGGGTTGTCCCCTCTACAGTAGGATCCTGTAGAGATTGGTCAAGAACAACTCGCATTCCTGGATCAATCTCGCGCCATTTTCGGAGGCACCAAACTGACCCTGTCAGAGTGTGCAATCTCTGTAGCAGATTCCTCATTAGCAGCTGCTCCGTGAAGTTCTGGCCTCATAGTGCCTGTTACAACCCAAATGCATTTTGCATTTGACATGAGACATAGGCCTTTTTTTTTTCCAACCTACTGTTAACACCCATTCATTTTTTTGATGAATTTTTTATAATACCTTAGGGTATTATACACGGGGGATTTGTGGTATTCCCATGTTATTATTCATTGACACTTTCTATATCATAACAGCTGTTATCAGCGTCCAACCTTTCCAGGAACCTTCCATTTTTCGTTACTTAAGAGTGGTTAGAGGGGATTAACACGGCTGCATAGAAGTTGCCTTGGGTCGTAAATATTTTGAAGTCAGCAACTACAGCGTGTGCGCTAGCTTCTGCCCCGTCCTGACCACCATGGCCCCGGTAGATTCGACAGCTGGGGGACAGTACACCTCGACTGTTATGAACCTTGCCCAGGAAACTACAGACTTGCAAGCATTAATGGAGCAATTGAAGAATCTGACAAGCGTCGTCAATGAACTCTGCGACGAGAACTAGCAACTTTGCCAGGCGCTGGAGAAGCGTCCAGAGGAGTCGGGCGACGATGCACGTAGCGAGACAGGTGAACATCGACCATCGCAAGTGGATCTAGCACGACAGGCCGCAACAGCACCGTGCTCGACAAGTGGCGGCATAAGATATCAGTCTCAGAGTAACAAACGGGCTAGAATGTGAGATACAGTGTGGTTTTATGCTAAGGGGTTGTACCCTCTACAATTACGCAACAATCTATGCTACAATAACACATACATATATG